TAAACCCCTTGTCCCTTGTTAATTCAACAACAAAAAATGAAAAAAATACAATTTTTTACAAAATTCAATAAGAGAATTGAGCAGATAAACTCATCTTTGATAGTAAAGTACAGGAGAAACAAATTTTATGTTTCTTTAGGCCTATTTTTTTTTCCTGGTTAATGACCTACAACTGACCTTACAATGATGCAGTAGTCCGAATTCCAGAGCTGAAATATATTTACACATCATAAACAGGTCATGACCCAAGCCAATGAAATTTATGAAATTCTTGCTGAAAATGTCTTGTTTTATTTGGATAAAAGAATGAATATACTATGTACAGGAAACTACATATGCTATTAGAGGCAATGTAAAGATGGTCTTTTCTATAAAAAAAAAGAAAAAAAAGTTTTTGTAATGACACTATCATTATATTTATACTGTGACCACGAATAGTGTTAAGACTTTAAAACATAACATATCTACTTTGTGTGAAGTCAAAACACGTATATTTCATATTTATATTTATAAGGAGACTGTGTATCCATTGTCAATATTTTTTTTATATTAAAATTAGAGCTTAGAATATCTTTAAACTTTAATTTAAAGAAATGCTAGTGCATTTAAGCTTTAGCTTTAACAGGACCAATCAAACTAATATGAGCAAACTTGATTAAAGACTACCCAAGAATGCTACAGACAAAGTTTGGTGATCATCCATCAATTGGTTCTGTAGAAGAAAATGTCTAAAGGTTTTCTATTTTAAGCCATAGTGACCCCTAAAAGGGGCCAATCAAATTAATATGAGCAAACTTGATAAAAGACTACCTAAGGATGCTACAGACAAAGTTTGGTGATCATCCATCAATTAGTTCTGTAGAAGAAGACGTTTAAAGGTATTTCTATTTTTAGCTATAGCAGCCCCTACAAGGGGCCAATCAAATTAATATGAGCAAACTTGATAAAAGACTACCCAAGAATGCTACAGACCAAGTTTGGTGATCATCCATCAATTGGTTCTGTAGAAGAATTGTCTAAAGGTTTTTCCATTTTTAGCCCTAGTGCCAATCAAATTAATATGAGCAAACTTGATAAAAGACTACCTAAGGATGCTACAGACAAAGTTTGGTGATCATCCATCCATTAGTTCTGTAGTAGAAGATGTTTAAAGGTTTTTCTATTTTTAGCTCTGCTGAACCCTAAAAGGGGCCAATTGAAATGACATGAGCAAATTTAAGTGTGACTATCACAAGGATGCTTCAGACCAAATTTTTGTTAAATCTGTCCAGCAGTTTCAGAGAAGAAGATTATTGTTGACGCATGACGACGGACGACGGACGCCGGAGTATCCCCCTTTGATACTAATAGCTCACCCTGAGCCTTCGGCTCTGGTGAGCTAAAAAAAGAAGACAATTTAAGTTCTTAATTGCAAATATAGAAACTTAGGAATGTAATGTTCAAAGACATTTTACACGTGAAAAGATTCACTCCGAGAGAGACATAGATCCGACATGAGAACACATTAGTCAAAATATGTCGTCCCTTCGTGTTTTCGCATTTTCGCATTTTGAGGCGAAGACGCGAAAATATTTGGATGGCGTTAATCAGCCACCATACATAATCCATTCAAGGCGAATTTCTCAAGCATGTCGAAAGGATGTCCGGAAATGTGTTAATATAAAACGCTGATATTTCGTGTGTTGATAAAAATACTGTTTAGATTCTATATGGTTTTGAAAAAAAAAAACTGTTTCTATGTAACTTTTCACGGAAATGGGCTGTACAATGATTACGTAAAAACAATAAAATGTCGGCTGTAGAAATCGAAAGGCATTTTGTCACGTGACTTTTGCCCATGCTACCGAAAACTACCCATCACAATATCACGGCGTTGAGACGCCGTGAAATAAAGTTTCAAGGCTACCTTCTACTTGTTGTCCTGGTTTCTTTCTCAAGAGAGCAATACTATATATTATATTTATATTGATAAAGGAAGGAAATCTAGTTTATTATATACTTTTTAATGAAATATTGAGAAATATTGATGAAATAAAATGCGTATTTTCATTTTCCGTATTTTCACTGTAAAAATTTATTTTTCACTGCAGTGAAACATATTTTCTGTATTTTCACTGGTGTCTTGCCGGACTACTTTCTTTTAAATTCTGCCAGTTCACAAAATTTAAGGGAAATTTTTCAAATTTTAATGTCAAAAAAGAGAAAAATGTATATAATAAACAGAAAATTTAAGTTTTTTCTATAAATACATGATTTATTTTCATCTTGTGGCATGAAAATTACCATATTTCACTCGTGGCTACCGCCACTCATGAAATATTTATTTTCATACCACTCGTTGAAAATAAATCATGTATTTATAGAAAAAACTTGAATATCCTCTATATCGCTGAAGTTTGGATGTTTATACATAAAAATATCTAGGAAATTACTTTTTAAATAGTTTTTAAAGTAATCTTTCATGACTTTTTGAGGAAACCTGATATTTTCTGTATGATACACGTGATATGATACACTTGACAATAACAGAAAACTGTTGGTAAAATAGAAAAATTGGAATTAATTTTTGTTTTGCAGTGTCATGCTATTTGAATTACAACTCAGAGATACTATATTGAGAGAATCAAAATATTTGTAAAAAGAATTGTATGATACTAAAAGTATTACAATGTATTTCAATATCAAATCTATTTTGTAATGGTAAAATGTCGCGAAAGTTGTAATAAGTTTCCTTTTTACATGCGTTTCGGTTGTTTATAGACATACATCAGTGAACTAAAGAAACTATAATTCCACCGTTTGAAACAGTGAAATTATCAATTTGATAATTTTCACTGTTTTGAATTTAAGCCTGTTACTTTGTTTCAGTGAAATACCAGCGTGCACAGTACTGGAAACCAACTTAGAAACGTCGTAAATGACGTCACGTTGTATTATTATTTGGCGCACTTTTCATTTAGCATTAAGTTAAAACGTCTTTTAAAACTTTTTTGCATATAATAAAAGGAAAAATTTGTTTAGTTTAGTGTAAGATCGAAATACATGTATATTTTACCTCGTGGACACCAAAAGTTTATATTGAGAAATGTACCTTTTGGTGCTAACTCGGAGAAATATATTCCGATCTAACACTGAACTTAACAAATATCCTCTATGTATTTAGGCTATGGACAACAAAACATATGTAAAAATTGTTTCATAGTATTTTGTAAGGGCAAGTGTCCAGTTATTAATATCTACTATAGATCACAACTGATAACCCAAGTCAATACCTCCAAATTCTTGGGTATTGTATTTTCTGCCAATGGTTTGTTTCATCATTGTCAGGAGGATTTATGTAAGAGAGCTTTAAGAGCATATTTTAAACTTTTGAAATGTATATCTAGTAGCAATATTAATGTTAAAAGTTTTGTGCATTTGTTTGACCATACCATTAAACCAGTGTGAAATATGGGGCACAATTAATACAGACTCATATATAGTAAGAAAAGATAATTATAGTCTTGAAATGTCTTTTAATAACATTCCATGTGATAAGATACATTTAAAAGCCCTGAAATACACTCTGGTGTTAATAAGAAAGCTACAAATGATGCTGTTTTGGGTGAAACAGGGCATCACCCTTTTTATATAGATATTTTATGTCATTCTGTTAAATATTACCAAAGATTGGCAGGGCCTGATTGCCCTCACTTGTTATCATAAGCATTTAAAGAAAGTTGTCAGTTGCATGATCATGGTAAAACTAGTTGGATGTCAAGTATTTACTTTGTTAAAGATCATATGACAACTTTTGCTCAGATAATAAAAACATTCATCATATTGTCAAGTCCAAAGCCATTAATAGTTTTAAATCAAATTGGTTAAACAGAATGACTGTTTGTGGCGAACAACAAATTGGTAAATTACGTACATATGCCTTATTTAAGAATGTTTTTGTAAGTGAACAATATCTTAGTGTATTAAGGGACAGTAATGTTAGGTCATGCTATACAAAATTTAGAATAAGTGCCCATATATTAGTAATAGAATGTGGTAGATACAAAAATACTCCTATCTCTGAGAGATTATGTAAAATGTGCAATCTAGGGAAAACAGAAGATGAAATTCATTTCATACTTGAATGTCCTAAATATGACACTTTTAGAAGCATTTACCTTAAAGAATGTGCTGATTTATGTAAAAACTTTGCTACACTCAATTGTAAAGATCAATTTATATTTTTGCTTAGCAATGAAAATGAAAAGTTTACTGAACGTACTGCATCTTATATATGGCAGTGTTATAACATACGATCACTTACAATTACAACAACTTAAAAAATGCCAAATAATTGTGAGATTATTTTCCAATCTACTTAGTAAAGGCTATAGAAGTATCTTTCCCACATACTAGTGAGGGGTCAAATACCTTCAAATAAATGCAAAACATGGTAATATGCATTTATAGGCCAATAGCTGATTGTATAAATGGTCATTTTAGTCAAGTACATTTATACAGTACAACAATAAATAGAACTTTTATGCTTAATTAGTAATTATATTATTTATTAACATCATTAGTCTTTGTCAATGTGCATCTCAAAAGATATTGTGGGTTAGTTATTTGTTGTGTTTTTTTACAAATTCTATTTCTTTTATGTGTTGTCATTTAAAATGCCTTTGTTGAATGCATATAGTTACTAGTCCTTTTCTAATTGTGTTTTCAAATCAGAATTAGCTTATTATTGTTTTGTTTATGTACATTTACATTTAATGTACTGATATTTATTTTATGTAATTGTATGCCTGAGAAGGCCCATGATTGGTAATAAACACTATTCTATTCTAAAATGCATTCAAATTACTCAAGCACTTATAAAAAGGCTAGCTTTGACAAACTGGCTAGCTTGGGATTGTGTGTCTGCATTGCTTTCTTGTTATATCGGATTCAGGGTTTATTCTTGTTTATTTTAATGTCTCAGTTATCAAATATTGCATATTGGATATTTATTATTTCAGGCATGACCTCTGCACGTGAGTGCATTGCCTGTCAATGGAATGCAAAGAACAGTTCGTTAGAAGACAACTGTTTGGGAGCTCCTTTCAAAACAAAAACAGCCGTGTGTCAGGAGGCTGGTGGTGGTCAACGTATTGGTTGTCAGGTACTTCATCTATGTTGTCTATAAAAAACAGTTTATTTGATAAAAATGTTGTTGATGATGATGATGATGATGGTGGTGATGATGATGATGATGATGATGACGATGATGTTGTTGTTGTTGTTGATGATGATGATGATGGTGATGATGATGATGTTGATGATGATGATGATGGGGGAAAATAACACTGATACACAGTTTTTTACATATAAATATGCATGCAATCAAATGGCTTGTTATTTATAATACCATTACAAACATTTTGATTAAAATATGAGGAATCCCACTTACAGCTCTTGGCTCAAATCCAGCAAAAATGTTTGGATTCGTTCTTGAAAGAGAGTTGTCATGCTAGCTTTTTGGTAACCTTTGGTGGTTCTATTGGGTGCTCACTTGTGACTGACAGAAGTCAATAGCTAGCGTAAGTGAATCCAAATAAACGTATATAACAGAAAACAGGTGTTTGTTTTTTAAATAATCATACGTAAATCATAAGAAAAATGTTCATATCCAGAAGTTTGCAAAATACAAGACTCTTGCATAGATGTATAAGCTTGCCGTTTCGGTAATTTTGCATACGCTCAAAATTATCTGTGATGGGAGTGCCTGTCGCATGCTCCAAAAATTATGGTTAACCATTTCAAATAATGGTACAATATGTTAAAATATGCAAGAATATGTATCTGGCATGTGTTTCCGTTTCAGATCGGAATATCCATCTCTCAGGTACCTGCGCATTTGGCGTTTACGAGGCTTTTCTCTGGACGGATATTCCGATCCAGACCGCAACATTTGACAGATATTACTATATCTGGTGATCAATCCATCCGTCCGTCCGAGCAAACATGTTGGGTTTATGTGGCTATTGGAACAATAGGTTACAGTCAATTTACTTTGATCCTATTCATTCCGTAAAGTTAAATGTGGCTTTTTGGGTTTTATGTGGCTTTTTGAACAAAAGAATAGTCATATAAAACCAAAATCTTAGATTGTCCGTCCGTTCGTCCGTCTATAATAGTGATTTTTATTTTCTTCAGACATTGGCTGTGTTTAATAAGAAGACGAGAAGCCTTGAAAGCCTAGAACGTAAGTGTGGCAGCAAACATTCCAAATGCAACAATGCATGCACAGATGACGTAACAAATTGCTGGTTATGCTGTGATGATTACGACAAATGCAATGGCTTTCCTTTGCGCAGCAACATCGTTGTCACATCTACGTCTTCAGCAAACATACTGGAATTCATCTTAAGTTCATTTGTTCTGACCACTATGTCGGTCTTTCTATCTCTTGTATAACCACTCAGGCAACCAAGATTATCATGATAGATGTTTTTGTTAATAAATGTGAATACATTGTTGTGTTGATATTTTGCACATTTTGAAATATCGTTGAAAAAGCACGCACTAAATTGTTTTACTATTGTTTTAAAGATAAACTTGCATTTCAGTGACATGTTTTTGAATTAAATGTAAGAGCAGGCAAACTGATGCTTTAAAATCATATTTGGGGTAATTTGTGACGCATCATGTAGTTCATTTTTTACCACCTGCCTTCTTGATTTGAAACAAAAGGTGAAAATACTTACGCAAATATAGAGGAGAAAATGCACATAAATTTTCAACATAAAATTTCGAAAGAAGATTTTATGGAATAACCTTTTAAATGTGAAAACCAGTTTTTGTAATTCATTGGTGAAAGTAGCCCGTATTTTATCGTCAACTGTAGAAAATATTTGGTTATTCATGAATTTTAGTATACATCGATAAAACTAAGGATAAATAAGAATTATAAACCTTTCGTGTTTTGATCTTGAAAATAAATTTTTCATTTGTGAACATGGGACATTGACAATAATGGAACATGTAAAAACAAAGAAAGTACACAAATGTAGATGTATATATACAAAGATGTGTAAATATGTATATTTAATGTATTGTCTATCACAAATGGGGGCAGTTTCAGGAACAGCTTTGACGTATTCTAAGAAATGCATACTTAAGGTAATGCAAGGTCAACAGAAATACCGTTGCTAATTTTAGAAATCAAGTCGAGCTTACATTGTTGTTTGCTATTTATTCAAAGTAAATCGTTGTCTTTATCTTCTAAGTATATTCCTATTAATAATAGTTGAATATATTTTGATGCAAAACATGCTTTGTTTAGCTTGTGTATTTCCAAATTTCATTTGTTTGTAATTACATGTTAAGAGATCGCTTAAGATATAACATTCTGTCGAGTGAAAAGGGCAATTAAATATATCATGTACATGTAATGATACGTTAATTTAATTGGATGTATTGATATTTTTGGTAAATGCTTTCAAGAACCGACATATTTTAATGAACATAACATAATGGGAAGAAATTGTGATTTACTATAATCCAATAATTGAATATATCTATAATTATCTAGCTATTTTACCGGCTTTCTCAAGCGGTTATTGTAAATTAAGATGAACTTTACACTGAGAAAAAGTCAAACTGTGTATAATAGCTTTAAATTAACGAACTCGTGGTGCGCATTGGCATATACTGCAATTATTTACGTACTTTCGCCTAACCTTTAGGTATTGCGCCAATATTGCTTTGCTTCAAACCAAATTGATATTTTGCCCATAAATAGAGAACGTAGTTATAAAACCAGCAAAAACACATTGTAGGTCGCAAAATGCCACTACTGATGGATTGCCTTATCAAAACCTGCTGTAACCTTGTTGGCATCTATGTAATTTGTAATTATTCAAGGTAAAAGAGAGTACCGATTTACGCTTTTAAGACCTTTTGAAAACATTTTAAAATTGTCTAACATATAACTACAAACCTAGAATAATATCTTTCCTGTTAATTAATGTATTGTTCTTTTCAATGATTATAGTGAATGGTCCAATACAGTTGGTATGTTATACTAAAAAGTCAAAGTCAAATATTTTATTGGCAACATACCTTAAATAATATTTTGATAATATTTATTATCATAATAAACCTCGAAATAATTATATTTGATTTTTGTTGGTTAGTGAGATACATGATACGATATGAAATTTCTTTACATAGCAAATAATAAATTGTTCTGGGGAAAAATATTATCATGCATCATATAAATTTCCAATTTTCCATACAAAACCAGTAAGAACTCTTTTTTTTTCAAGAAATACCGGTATATTCATTAGAATATTTAAATAATACATTTCTACATTTTTTAGATTGATCAATATTTGAATTATTTATGGAATATGTGCCCATTGTAGACCAGTTCACTTTAATAAAGTCATGTTTTCAATACAAATGTATATGTTTTGCTGTCACTAATATTTAAATAGCTTTAAAAAAAAGAAAAAAAAGAGTAAGTCTACCTCTACACCTTATGATCAAATTGAGACAAATGCGTAATGACTAATTTACATCTGGTTGAATTTTGTTTAATATATTAGTTAGATATTACTGTTATTTGTTGTAAAAAAGCTATTGTTTATACATTTATTGTTATATTTTATTATGTATATCCTTGTTGTTAGCTTGTATATTTAATAAAATATTTATCTTGTCGAAATTAGTTTCTGTGTGTCATTTTTTTAATTTATTCATGAAATTTGGAGGAAGTCTCTAGTATCTGCCATATAAAGTGAAGCAAATATGTCGTTATCTATTCATACATTCATTTGAGCCGTGTCCCGACAAAACCAACATAATGGGTTTGCGACCAGCGTGGATCCAAAGCAGCCTGCGCATCCGCACAGTCTGATCAGGAGCCATGCTGTTCGCTTACCAACCGTATTACAAGTAGAGAAACTGATAGCGAACAGCATGGATCCTGATCAGACTGCGCGGATGCGCAGGCTAGTCTGGATTTATGCTGGTCGCAAACCCATTATGTTGGTTTTGTCGTGACACGGCTCATATTTTTATGACAAGACAAAAACTGTGCTAAAAGGTCATTTGTTTCAGTGTTAGTGAACGAGTAACTGTGACGTACCGATTAGCAATAAATAGTCTCTTGTAAATGCACTTGATCTCACATATAACACTGGTTATTACCAATACAATTCAGATGAATTAGGCCTTTGAAATAAAAGAAGAAAACAGGAACGTGTGTTCAACCAAAAATGTGTTTCTTCTAAACTTTGTCAGTCTTTAAAACCACATGCTGTCAATTTCATGCATTCATTTTATGTTGGAAACAAAGCTTGTTATTTAATAAATTAGTGAATTACATTAAAAAAATCATCATCTCGACAAAAGAAACTTTCGTCTATGATAAGGTTTATAATAGTTGCGATTGCAACACATGTACATTGTAATTGTTACATGTTAGATTTGTCAAGGAATAGAGAACTTGTGTCGTCATAAGGTGTAATTTAAAAGGTCATCGTTAAAATCATTTCTTAATGTTCCTAACGTCATTTTTATGGATTTCAAAAGCCAGAATATGGATAGGTTGCACATTTAGTTAAAGCGAGCGAAATGGTTGAAAACTTGACTCAATGCCCACCGTCTCATAAAGATTCGAAATGCGCGATCGTCCAAGTTCAGTCAATTCATATTTGGTTCTTTACTATTTCTGAGTATGTCATGCAAAATATATGACATATTTGGTTTACGGTTTCAGCCGCCTAGACCCTTATTTTTACAAAGTTATTGTTGGTATTAAAATGTATGGTCGTGTTTCTATTTGAGATTTAATAACTTGCCATTCTGTTCGGGGTTTCTACTTTTAATTCCAATATGTAAAAAGTTATAAAATTCGCCGTTTATAGAAATTTTATTTCTTATATACCAAATAAAGGTTTTATACACAAAACGTTTCTTGTTTAAGCATGTCCTGGTTTTACTGACACAATAAATAATGCGTCTGTCTACGATTTGTAACTAACGATAGGTGATCCAAATAAATATTTTCTATCTTTGTCGCATTCAATAATTTAATATGACGTATCACAGACAAAAGAATTACAATCAAAATCATTAACAACTATTGTCCTGTCTATCTATTGATCAAATTTATTTTTGTATAGCTTAACATATAGGGAAAGGCATCAAGTTAGAAGAGACAGTTATATACCTAGTTTATATTTTCAAAGCATCCGTTTTCCCTTCATACATCAAGTAATTTTGCTTTGGCATGCTCTAACAAATATCTACTTTGGAAAATAAATTGAAATGTGTCAAAAGTGTAAAATGGTACTCACATTGTGACAAATTACAAGATAAGAGATGCTTTGTCAGTAATGGAAAATATCCGTTTATTTTCTTACCAACGTGACACGTAGACAGCTTAAAATAAAGAGTTTTTATAAAAGAACCAGTAAACTTAGTCCATATTTCTTGTTAGGTTTCTGAGATGTTACCTAGGTACGAGGTAGATTAAAAATCGTTTGTCTTATACTTGCATATATATAATCATAATATGTTTTCAGAAGAAAGCATGTTTGGGATTGAACCAGTTAATCAAACAAGGAATAGTCCTAAAAATATTTTTATATGCAAACATATTATTTGTTTCCATGAATAAATGAATCAGGACAGAGCATTTAACATAGTCTTTTATTTTATGCTTTTCAGTGAATTACTGATTTATCCGTGAAAATTATATTTGATAATTTCACAGTGAAAATTATCAAAATATAATTTCACACTTTTCAATGACAAAACTACTTTTTTAAGATTTTTCCCATGTGGTACATCAATTTTATTTTTGCTAACAATTCTGACAATGTCAGGCTGTTTAAAGAAAACGCAAAGCTGAAATTGATAAATACCTTAATCGTCAAAAGTAATAAAAATAAGAAAACTTACTTCTATTCATTCAAATTCCAATCACCAAATTTCGTCTCTAAATTTTTTGTTTCATTTTTACAGTCTGAAAAATACATTCCTTCCACATGCAAACTGCTCTTGATGACATTTGTGCATATTGGGCATACGAGTAATAACTGCCGTATGCTTTGTGAAAAATTGAAAAGCAATGACAGCTACAGCTCGTAGAACAAGTAAACCACCCAGCGTTCCGAGCAAGTTCCAAATCTTCCATTTTCATAGCTGCTTTTTTCATGTTTTCACATCTGTCAACACTTATTTTTTGTCTGTTTCAATCCTCAAATATGTTTTCTTTCTTTTAAAAAGGTGTATGACTAACAAATCCAAATGATATCCCTCTGAATCAAACACAATTATTTTCCTCCCGTGAAATACACAACTTTAAAAAATGGCTGCCGCTTACATTTAACAAAGCCAGGTCTAATATAAATTCGCAGTAAGTAACAGAAATATGGATGGATGTTTGGAATTTTCACCTACACGAATTGTTTGTTTTTATTATTAAAACAAGCGATCATTCATATTTTTTAAACAAAAAAATAATATCACTGTCATTTAACGTTGATTGTCGGACTTATTTTTCAGCTCAAGACTTCTTGTTTTTAATGAGAAATTCGCACGAAATGGGGCTCTCAATGGGGAAACAGATTTTAATATTTATGTTAATATTATGGAAATTTCGTTTAAACTTGTTTTTTAGCATAAAATAAAAAGAAAATTTGTTTGTATGTTGTGTAAGATGTAATTTTATTTCATCTCGTGAACTTTAAAAACAGTATTCTCACTCGTGGCTACGCCACTCGTGAGAATACTGTTTTTAAAGCCCACTCGATGAAATAAAATTTCATCTTACACACAAACAAACAAATATCCTCTATATCAATTGACTATTACATTCGTCTATAAATAAATAAAGTATGTCTTAAATGTTATAAAAAAAACAACAGGAAACAAGCAAACAAACAAAAAATCCAAACTGTTAACAAATTTTATATCATCAATTTTTATTCGATTGAATAATTTAATTATTATCCTTCGTATTAAGTATTATTATCCGTAACTGTCTTCAAGATTAATTTGGCAATTGCGACATGAAATACAATTATTATCAAATCTGCTTGTTTTTTTGTTCTTGTTTTTATTCCTCTGGAGGGACCTTCCTTTACATAATTGTTATTAAAATTACTTACTTACTGGAAAGTACATAGACTCTAAAACACTATTAGTAATTATGTATGAACTGCGGTTGAATGATAAGGTATCCCACACTGTTTCCTTTGAATTTCTCTTTTTGATGAGTAAAATGTTATTTCTTTATTTTTCAATTATTACATATCTTTGTAGCTTAAAGCTGTCTTGAATGACTGCTTTGGAAAAATGCATGCACATTTTTGTAGCTTTGTATCAAAGGTCATGCGGAAACTAGCACAGTTAATTACTTACCTATATTCCATCATTACATCTAGTTGGACTGTCCTTTGATATTTTCTCCATAGTTTCATACGTCAGGTCATTCGTCAAATGGCCTTTATAGAGTCAGACTGAAATAACTTGAGCTATGTTGGTATTTTTTATATTTAACCTCAATACCATTATTTGGATTAATAAACATTCTATTCTCAGTGTTAACATATATACCAATTTCATAAGTAAGTTGTACTACGACCTAATAACGTGTACCCTGCTGGAACCGGAAGTGCTTGGCTTTTGCCGCTAGTATAGAACCATGTCAGTCAGCACATCCAGGCAACCTGAACTCGAAATAAAAAACAGAACTTATCAATTTTCTTGCTCTATGCTACTTTAATTCAGCGGTGAATAAAAAACTTAAGTAAAAAATGAATGAAGAAAATTCTATAATTGTATGTATGATCGAGTAAATTTGAAATACACGACGACAGATTAAATCGCATTTATTCTTGTTGGAAATTGCAAACGAGTATGTTTTGCAAAAGCTCAAGGTCGTTGCAAAGTACGGAATAAAGTAAAGCTTGCGCAATAAATGTAATCTTTGTTTCATATCAATTGAAGTGTCATGTTGTTACAATAGCTGTATTTTATGAATTCATTTTTAAATGTCAAAGACAGGTTTTATGAGTTGTGACGTTTTCTAAATCATAGGGCACGCAAAGCTATTTGTCCCTATATCTTGTTAGGATTAAAAAGGAAATGCTTAAAATTAAGCATGATCTTTGAAAATTTCCCCGAAAAAGAAAAAATAAACAACATAAAATAAACACTGATAAGTAAAAACAAAAACTTTCAATTGCTTCCTAAGTCAAGAAAATATATCACTTTTCATTCAACAAGTCGACAACAGACTTGTCCAGCTTTCATTTTTGCAACTGTCTATTATCATTGTTAGAGATATTAAGATGAAAATTTATTGTAAGTGTGTGTGTGTGTGTGGGGGGGGGGGGGGGGGGTGGTTCGGCGAATCACTTTTTGTACCAGCAATTTAAGGGTTACCATGGATTCTTGAAATAAATACAAATTATATACATGTATTTTATCATCTCAAAATGTGATAAACCGAAAGGTAGTTGTCACAATAAATATCTTAATTTGACATAGGATATCTTTTCAAAGGAGAATTTATGATTTTAAAATTAAACGTATATTTGTTTAAAGGCGCTATCTTAACTCGCCAAGAAACGTACAACACATTGATTGATAAAGAAAAGTAATTTTGTCTGGTTTAGCATGATGATAGACAAGTCACAAGAGTTTTATCAT